CTGATACAAAAGAAGAGACATGGAAACTAACTGATCATGTCACCGTGGGTGAACAGTGACCCCTTAAAACCTACCAATCAAGTAAGCTGCCATGCACAGCACTGCACAAGAGCTAACTGTATTTACTGGTTCTGGGCATATGCATGCTTTTATACATAACACTGACTCTGACCTTAAAGGCAGTATAGAACCCGTGTGATGAGGGTCAGTGGTATTTACAGGCCAAGCAGAAAAAAATATTTTAAGCACCGGAGGGTTCAAGGCATTCCGCTCCTCTGTGAGGGGAAACAGTACAGCGTCTAGGCCTCGTATATCGGGCAGCCAGACTAACACAGAATAAGAGCTACAGGAAAGGTGTCTTTTGGTGACAGACATCTCTAAGCATTCAGCCCATGAGTTTTTATATTTCATGGAGGAAGTACTAGTTATCAATCAAAATAAGAAACTCCATTATAAACAGTATAATTCAGGTTATTAATAGTACATCATAGCGCTTAGTAGGTGCTCTGAAAGTTTTTGCTGGTGGTCAATGTGCTTCAGTTTCACAATCCAGATTTTGTACAGTTGAGACTTTGTTCACTAAAAGTGAGGGGTTTCCTCCTTTTTCATTGTTAACTAACAATGAAAATAGATTTTGACAGCAACGCGACTTAAAATACACAGGCACAGCAATCATTCAATCTGTAGGAGAACTCGCCAGTCCCCAATGGCTGAGCGGTAACCATCTTGCTGAATTCAGCTGCACAGACTCTGTTGACAATGGCAATGAACACGTTCATAATAATAATAAGGGCTTGTTTTAATAGAACGTTCCACACATTAAACACATTAATGACCCATGAAATAACTGTTTTATCTGTAACACATTAAGCAACATTACTAAAAACAATGTATTAATTGGTAGTAGGCTATTTCTTGAACGTTTATTTTTTTTTTTGAAAATATAAGATAGCAGGAAAATCACTTCATAACTTAATCAAAATTAGAACCATGCCACTTGTGTGAAAAAAAAAACTTGTAAAATGTGCTTGGTAATTTTAGACATATCATTTTGAGAAACTCCTACTTTTTTTTTTATCATAAATGGTATCTACCTGGATTGCGAGTTAAGCATGTTATTAGCATGTGAAGTGTTCATACTCTGCCACCTGAGTCCTTCCACAGCCTTTTCTCTCTCACCTGAACAGATCCATACACTTCCCACTCAAATGTTCTCCCTTCACCTCCTCCCTTTTCCAATTTTCAACCACTACCTTTGATGTGTTACAGCGCCAACACAGCATTTCCTACGCACACATGCTATCACAATTAAATCCAAAGCGACATCAAACAGTACACGCCGGCTCTCTACACAGGAAACATAATGCAGGCAGAAGACATGTGTGAATTTTCAGTGTGTTTTATAAATTCTCTTTTTTTTTTTTAGGGGGGAACATACAAAATATCAAACTAAAGGCAGTTATTTCACTGTCTGTTTCTTAGATATCAAAGAGAATTTTGAAACTCATCAAAGCTAACCTTCTGTTATGTACAACAGGCTGAGCTGAAAAGAATGTTAACAAGTTCAATTTTCATTCAATCAGCAGTACTGCTCTCTGAAATGTTTCATTGCAGGAAAGAAATAAAAATAATCTATATGGTAATTATGAGAATGAATCCCCCAGTAACTTTCAGCTACATGAAAGGTCAGTTCTATTCAAGATATTTTATCAGTCCCTTGCACATACCCCTGTCCTGTCATTTTAAATCTGAACAGCATTTTATTTTCCCATTTACAGCTACCTGCAGAATTAAGTACTTAAGCCAAATAAGAAAAAAAAAAAAAAAGAAGAAGAAGAAGAAAGAAAGAAAAAAAATGTTGAATGCTGGCAAAGGCTATAATAGCATAGAGATAAATCGTTCATCTGCTCTCTCTCAAGCCTCTGGGGCTGCAGATTTTTCTTCTCCTGGTGCACTGTGGGTATTCAAAACTTGTTCAACATGATTTCATTTCATTTCAGGCACTGCCTGAGAAAACTAAATTACAGAATCAATCATACAGAAGGTCAGAGTGAGACTTCATTACAAGTATTGCATGCTTGCATGAATATCTTTCATTTATGACTGACCCAATATGTCACAATAGCTGTCTAGTAAAAATAATCCACTTTCTGAAATTGATGTACTACTGATGTCGGTGCTACTCAGCAGGCTGGGCAGATTATAGAGAGGTGTTTAAAAAAAAAAAACCTTTGGAGCTCACATTGTCGGTTTTCAGAATTGCAATCTTTTGTAGATTAAAATAAGTTCCAGATGATCAACTAAACTGACAATAATGCTTAGAGGTAACAAATTTTTAAGTAAAATCTACTGCTGATTTTGATCTGCCAACCACATCCTGTCTTAAAAACCTCCACACCCACCACAAGCAAATCAAGATTGTTCTTTGAAGCCACAAACGCACAAACATTCGGTTTTTCAGTAATTCTCTTTTGAATACCGGAGGGGTATTTGCATTATTCTGAAGTATGAATGCTGATCGTTGGCCTCTTTTTAATGTCTCCCTTTTTGCTCCCACTCTGTCTTTTTTTTTAAAAAAAAAAATAATAATGGCATAAATGTGAGGAAGATAAACAGGTTGTACTGTGTGCCAGCAATAATGCAGCTAATCAGTCCTGTGACAAACTGTCAGTCTTTCTAGAGAAAAGCCGCTGCAGCTCTGAGGAAAAGCTGGTCTGGTATGACATAAACAAACTGGCTTTTCTTATTATATGATAGGCTTAATTCACCATAGCAATCCCTTACAGACAGCCATATTCATTTGGATAATAAAACTTGTTACTTGCATAAGATATGAAACAGCCCATGTGCCCTCAGATGCTGAAGGCACGATGTACACAGTATTATTTATTATTTCTGTGTTGACCTTCCTACAGGAAATCTCAGAGGAGGCTTCTGCAGAGCATTATGATGTAGCCAGCAACTCGGTACCCGGAGGGAGAAAGAGAGGAACCTTGACATAACCTATTTTTAACCATGCCTCTGGCGATTCTGAATTCAAGTTTACAGGTGAACATGTCAGGAGTCCACAGAACAAAGCCAATGACACATTGTATTCATCATAATTCTGTCCTGGTACATTTTATTTTTCCCAACATTTGTGATTTAAAATCCCATGACATTTTTCAAGGTGAAATTCTACTAGAATTTCCAACAAGATTAGTTTGCTTCAAGTCAAAATAAATAGCATTCAAGTTGAGCAGAACTTCAAACCAGTAGCCATAACCAAGATGAAGCCCATGTAAAGACAAGAGCCTGCGCTTAAAGTACCTATACTTTAAAAAAAAAAAATCAATGGAATAATTGAACTGCTTTAGTGATTAGCCATACATTACAAAAGAAGCATTAAAAATTGAGTCCTCGCTTCCAACGCCAGCCCTGGAAAGCATTGTCTTTAAGTGTATGTGAATATCATAATTATTTTATGATTCCATCTTTAGTTCTTTCCAATATAGTAAATTCAATTGACCATGAAATGAAATTTCATAGTCAAAATGCCTCCTTTACACTTTTTTATAGCAGCAATAACAGTTTTATAGCTTTGAGGCAAGGTAATTCATCAGATGTTTAATTTAAAGGCAGATTCTTATATTACTAATAAATATTTACCAATTTAATAAAGTACACATTTTAGCATATATTATATGGTCTTTTAAGTATTTCTGCAACTTGAATGAGCCTGACTGAGCATCTATAAATATGGCCAGGCCTAGTAAACTCCCTTGGTGACTAAACACCCTTTTTATCTTTATTATTTTCCAAGTATATTAGAAGCTAAGACTGTAGAGGAAGACAGAACCCTCCATTCCAGTGTCAAAAGGACAAAACAGTAAGAAAGTCCACAGGAAACAATTATTTGTGATGACAGGGAACATTTGTGAATACTTAATGACTATTTTCTGCCGGCTCCCTGCATTCTTCTCTGACAAAAAAAAAAAAAGTAAAAATGAAAACCCTTATGTTCAGCTCAAACACAAAAGATCACAGGCAAAGAAAATTATGTTGCCAAAATCCTATTTGGGAAAGTAATCTTACATTTCAGAGAGCACGCTGAATCTTTGCACTGTTAATCCACTACATATTTTGCAATCATGCGTCGCTATCTGGGGAATTAAAAATGAAACCAATAAACATCACTGGCATGGTCCTAATGCACAGAGAAATATGTAAACAAGCAATAGGATTTGTTTTTGTTATACCAACACATCTGTCTCATTTTATCAGGGTTTTAAAAAAAAAGTCCTATAAATTATTAATCTTGTTTTAAGATGGCTGGTTGGTGACTCACCTCCGCAGACAAACACATTACATACAGTGCTGGAGAAAAGACACAATCCCAGCAGAAGAGTTTAAAATACTTAAGCAGATTTATTCTGGTGATTGCTGACTATAATTGCACACTAAGAAAAATAGAAATAAAATTATCACATTAGCAATCCTTGCTCTCTAGAGTGCCTTATTCAATGTTTGTGACAATAAATAACACAATTAGGTGTATTTTACACTGTAACACAGGCTGTATTTTCCTCGCTGGATATAAGCAGATTTCCCCCTTTCCTCTGTATCACAGTTTGATATTTGATTTGAGGTGAGAACAAACCATATGTCATACACATTATGCCCTAATTCAACATTATGCTCTAATTCAACAAGTTTAATAGACCTGGGCACTTAAGATGGGCTTCCATGTTTAAAGGCTCGCCTGAGTAAGTTCTCATTTCAAGCACACCTCTGCATTAAAACAAAGGCAAAGGAAGACTGGCTGCCTTCAAAGCAGTGAGAAGCCTTCCTAAAGTTGGAAGACTCTTGTTGGCCATCCTCTACGGCTGTGAGTCACGCAATACCAGATACCAACCGAGCATTATGTTTAAAGGGCAATCAGTGCCCATCAGCAGGCAGGGAACAGAACCTGCCAGCTCCTTACCATGAGAACAAATGGCAAAGAGTAGTCGGGTGCTTACCATGTGCAGCCCATTGCTATGAAGCACTCCATCCTGCTCCACCAAGTTCCTTGAGATTGTGATGGAAGGGAGATCCAGGCTTTGAGGTGGAAACTGGGGTGTGAACTCGTTTCCCTGGGAAGGCAACGGATCGCTGAGAGCCTGAAAGGGTAGCAGTACATCGGGCATACCCAGGGTGGGGTCCGACTCTGGAGGAGGCGTGATCGGCGGAATTTCAAACTCTTCATCCCCAAGGCTTGGCGTGTGGAATGTCTGCTAAAAGGAAACAAAACACAGACACCCTCACAGTCAGTTTCTGTATTTTATCCCTCCTTAGAGGGAACAGGAAAAAACTTCCTGTGAAAACCTACATATCTAGGCCAAATATTTGTTTCTCAAATGAAAACATCTTAAACACAGATTTCCATATATAAAGTTTTGCTGATCGTTCTGATTAAAGATTTAAGTCTCATTATCATATGGTTTTAATGGAGTATCAGTATTAACAGTTTTTTAATGCGTACTTAATTAGCAACATCTGTCTTTGTTGTTAGTTGGAGCATTGGCGACATTAGATTTGGCTATATAACAAATTGCCACTTTATTGATATGTTAGTGAAACAGCTCAAATAGCTTACGCAATCTACATGCTTCATAAAACGCTCATGATTTTGTGGCGCGCGCACACGCATGTGCACACACACATTAACTAAGAAGTGAACATTACACATGTTTACTTTCTGCCACAACCTATAAAACAAGTAATATTAAACTTGTGGTTTGGTTTTTGAATTTTTCTTTACTGGCGTATTCCCAAGTGTAATAAATGCTTCTATGGAAATTGTTACTGTGTCATGCAACATTTTCTGTAAGGGTTATTGTGGCTCATATTAAAAGATGCGGGTGCTTTTATTGAAGCTATAAGGAAGACTGTTTTCTTTTACATGAACACTTCCATATGCATTTATCAGAACACCATCTACCAGGCTTCAACGTCTAAAGACTACCTAAAGCGTGCAAAGCCATCCTGGTATAGCTACATTAGGTACAGAGACGTTGCCTATTCACTTTGTTAGACTAAAACACATGCAAATCTTAGCAAGTTGTTTTTTGGGAAAGCTACTGGTGTTCTTCAGGTTGGGTTTTAAAGTGGGGTCTTTGAAGAATATCAGGGCTGCTTTGCATCTCAATTATATGAAGCATCTTTCTCTCACCATGTGGGTTACGTGAAGAGAGAAGAGACACCAAGATCCAAGATTTTGACTATTACTACTGCTACTATTTTATATACATATATGTACCTACTTTTTGGTGATGCACAGGATTTAAGAGGCCACTCTGATTGTTTTTTTTTATTCCTAGCTAAGAGGGTCACAGATGTAGTTCATTTATTATTAATAGTATTTGAAAGAGTGAACTGGCATGGGGTAATTGGAGTCTGCTATTATTGATAAAGAGACCTAATTAAGAGCTGAAAATCACCATTCTTCAAACTCTCAATTATGATGCTATATACTAACCACCTGAAAGGAAAGAGAAACAGACTCAATAGAGGGAGGGGGTAGTTCTCACCAAAAGCATTTCCTGCACACAGAACCTGACAAGTATTATTTGCAACTCACCAGAAAAAAAAAAAAAAAAAGCTCATAAACTACAGAATCTATGAAAGAGCAAGTGGCCACCTTGAGGGCCTTGGTAGACTCAATAAATGTTGAAAGAAAGAAAGAAAGAAAGAAAGAAAGAAAGAAAGAAAGAAAGAAAGGAAGGAAGGAAGGAAGGAAGGAAGGAAGGAAGGAAGGAAGGAAGAAAGAAAAGAAAAGTTGAAAGCGAATAAAACATTTGAGAGCCAGAACGAAGCGTTTGATATTCTGACATGGGCACTTTTGCAATGATGCCCCCCTTTTTCCAATGTCATTATCTTACTGTGGTACCCTGAGTTCTCTAGCAACAAAGGGATGAATTGGCCACAAACACGGTTGGCTAATGAACGTAACCCTATGGCTGCGTTCACTGTTATCTTGGCACTAATGTGGTCTAGTAACAGATGCAACTGTAATTTGTGACTCATTTGCTACCCCATTACTGCTTAATGAAATCTAACATATCACATTAACAATACGGATAAACACTCATTCTTGATATGTGGCATTTGGCTGTTTTCATTACCACTGTAATTAACACTTGAAATATTATTTCAATAAATATTTAAAGTACTTTAAAAATGGTCAGAGTAATCATGACACAGATAGAAAACATAACGCTAATGTGTGAATTTCAAACTTAGAGTACCCTGGTCCCTGTAGTGTTGTTCGCAGGACACTGTCCATGTGAAGGAAACTGGTTTCAGGCACGATCTGGGCTTAACAGCACGCCAACCTAAAGTCTTCCTGAATTAGTTTGCACTCATTAATGTTTAAAAAAAAAAAACCCGATAAATTTACTTTTAATGCAGTGATTGAGAAATTAGATGAGGGCCATAATGTGGCACATTAGCGTTGACTTTGGCTTTGTTTTTCAATCACGGGAAGATGCACAGTGAAGCCAGTGCGTAAGATTTTAAACCCTGGTATAAAGCACACCTCAGGCCAGGCAGTCAAAATTAAAGAGGGTTTCAATTTTTATTTTTGTTAAGGAATAGAGAGAGACACGTTATATATAATATGTCCCCGTGGCATAATTTTTTTAAAAGACACATTAATTTTAAGTTAGAAGCAATATATGTCTACATTGATCTAATAAAACAATGCAATGAAATGACATTGTAATATGTAACCAAGGAGATGCTAAAATCTTAACTACCTTTTAGGAGAGGTAAAATATTACATATGGATTCTTCCACAGAGAAAAGAGAGAGGTTCAACATCAAATACAATATAAGTACCTCAGATCCAAAACATTGTTTTCTGAGAGAATAAAAGTCACCATAAATCCCATCAACAAAGAAGGACATGGACACTAGGTCAGATGAGTCATTTAGAGTTTATATGATCAATTTTTATAGATACTGACTTTTCAGCATTTACCTTGAACATGTTAAAGTGGTGTGTGCATGGCTAAACACCATCTGTACTGAAATGTTCAAAACATTTGTTCCTTTTGATAAGAATGCAAATCTGGAGAACTGTTGTATCAACATATAACAGCCGACGTCTGACACGGTGAATTATCACAGCTGGAATTAAATTGTTTCTGAACAGCTGCTGGCAGCACAGCTTTCATCAATGTTTGATTCAAATGTAGAGGAAAAAAAAAAATCCCACAGAATGAAACATCATGTTGTTCTTACAGATGGAGTTTGTGTTCATTATCCCAAACAGCACAGCAGCCAGTGCCAAACCATATTCTAAGCTGTCTTCTGCTTGCAAAGATGGTCAATGGAAAATAATTAATCTATGAAATCCCTTACTTCTCAAGTCTCCACTTACGCTAATAATTTTTACACATTAATTTCTTTCATATTACTTGCTCCCCTGTACCAAGATCATTTGCAAAGCCATTACTATTTTCAATCTCTGGGGTCAAGCTGGTTCACTCTCCTATATCTGAATGTATTTGGAAAATGAAGACTTTTTATTGCCCAAGCCACAGAGGAACTGTTCCATTTGGACTGATTTCATACTTCTGTTTGTTCTTGTTTGAAAATGTTAACTCTCACACAATCTACCCTTTTAGGAAAACGTTTTATTGATCTAATCAAGTATCTTGAGATGCTTTTCTTTCCATTTTCCTTCCGCCCTCCCCCCCCCAGAAAGCATGCCAACAGGACCAGACAAAGGTGGGAAGTGACAAGTAAGAAATACAGTAGAAACAGCAAGAAGACAATGCTTATTCCATGTATACCTGCAAACTAGCACAAAGCAGGAGAAAACATGGCACTGCAAGCTGAGCGCATCACCCAGGACTCCCGGCTACAATCCTATCTTGGTGTTTATTCACTGACTCAGACCCTCAATAATTTCTCACTGGACTTCTACTATTGTGGACATTGTGCTAGGTGGTGGGGTTCTAACAACAAAATACCCATTGCGCATAACTCTAGAAACCATAACACTGTCGGCCATACTGCCCTAAGCCATGACAGTCAAGGATGTTAACCACAGAGAATTAGGAAGCAAAATACTTCCTATTAAAGTTTTCAAATACCCAGTCATCTGCTTAGATATACAGCTCTCTCTCTCTCTCTCTCTCTCTCTCTCTCTCTCTCTCTCTCTGTGTGTGTGTGTGTGTGTGTGTGTGTGTACTTTTTTCCACCAAGAGATTCACTTAAGTTTCAAATGTAACAACAGCCTGTGGACAGTGATAAAGTCTTGTCAAGTTATTTTCTTTTCCAATAGGCTTTTCTCATTTTCCTCCAAAGTTGTTACCTTGTGCCACAGGAGAGAAATTTGATACCTTGCCTTTCCCTTCAAGCCTATTAAATTATCTATACAACACACAAAACAGGAACAGACGTGGTAAGGCAGACACCCACCTCACTGGCAGCAAAGAAGGCGTTGTTTGCCTCAGCCATGTTCATGTAGTTATTATTTCCAAACTGAAAAAAAAAAAAACAACAATATTGATTTATGTTAATGGGAAGCAAAGTAAAAACCTGCAATTGTTCATTTAATACTCAGAAGTGACTGGGAAAGAAGGCCACTGTAGTGGGGTTCATGGGCCAAACTGGAAAATGTTAAACTGTACTTATTGTGAATGAGTTCCTTCTGCAACTAGAGCACAGAGTTATACTGACAATAATTCTAGAAAATAGTTCTGTTTCTCCCCATGACTGATAGTGAAAGGAGACAATTACAACCATTTGGCTGTCCGGTCACTAGTGTGCTGTTTATTAAATTGGCATTCATCAGGGGTTGGAAGAAAAGGAGTCCCCAAGAAAACCACTTGGATATCTTTTAAAGCATGCTGGGATTTCATACTTTACTTTTCAAGAACAGGTGTCACATGTGTGGATAGGTTAAAAATGTGAATTAAAGGGAATACAATTCAATTTCCAAGACTCAAAATCTATTTTCTGGTGAATGGGGTGTGGCATGAATATAAATAAATAAGACTAAAGAATATTTCTAAAGTCTCCACGCGGAGCTTACCACCATATCTAGCTCCATCACAGCTGCTGAAAGCCGTGCTATTTAATCTCTCCATGTAACATTAAGTGCAAAGAGGTTTAGAAAATAAGCAGGATCCTATGAACACAGCAAGTTTTATTTCATTCCCTAACACAATGGCCCATTCATATCAACACAAATAAGACTGTATCAGCATTTCAGATGTAAGCTCTTTACTTCTAGGGACCTGTTATCAAAATGTAAGGCTTGGATTTGGGCAGAAATGTATTTTCAGGTTCGAATGGTCTAGGTAGGCACATTTTGTTGCTTTCAACATTCTGCTATCAGTCTAGTAATATGGGAAAGCTCTGTGGGCATAATTACCTGGAGCTGTGTTATTTTTCATGATGTTTAAATGTTAAGAGAATGTTCTTGCATAAAGTACTCTATTCATTTCCTTTAATGCATCAAAAGAAGCACAGGTGTGGTCTCCAAGGAGTGAAATGTACGTAGACATTTTCTAATATATATTAAAGCTAGTAATTACATTAAAGTAAAAGGTATAATTTTCCCAAGAGATAAACAGGTAGATCAATGAATGGCTGGCTGGATGGGTGGGTGGATGGGTGAGCAGATGGACAGTGTTAGAAATAGGTACACAGATACTCTGACACACATGTAGATGGATACAGGAACGAGTAGAGAACAGACACGTGGATACGGAAAACCCATGTAACCCTCCTCTCAACACCACTTATTTCTTGGGGGCTCTCGGCCCAATCCTCAACCTGTAGGAACCTGGATGGACACGCTGCACGTTCTGTCAGGGATGCAAGAGCTATGCGAGATTTACAGGGAACACTATTGGCTCCAGAGAGTTGGTAAGGTCTACAGAGGTAAATCAACCACCTCAGGCCACGTCAAAACACACACACACACACACACACACACACACACACACACACATGCCACGCGCTCACACACTTCTTCATTTTTTTCAGTGTTAAAAATATGTCAGAGCAAAACCCCACTGGCTTCTGCCATCCTTCCTTTTCTCCAGGAAATGCTCAGGCCTACAATCAAATATGACCCATATCTGAATCTATATATGCCATGTTTCAATCCTGAACACCCACCCCCAAATGCCTGACAGCCAGTATCACAACTTTAACATTATTTAAATGTCGGCTTTGTTGGGGAATTAGAAATCCATTTAAGGCAAAGAGCTCATTATCAGAGAGTATTTTTTTAAGATTAAACTCACTTATTATCTAATAGCACCTAGAACAACAAAGGAAAATAAAATGGCTATTAAACTAAAGGCCTAAACAATTCAAAAAAAAAAAAAAACAAATTAAGCTCAGAGTGAAATAAGAACTGGGTTAGAAATCCTCTTCAGAACAGTTAGTATGCGAATGTAATTACTGAAGAAACTACAGCTAATCAGCTGTGAATTGTATCCATTAATTAGTATTTGCCCTGGAGAAATGAGAAAAATCAGTAACAACGCTGGCACCGCCACGGTGCTGATGAGCTGCGAGAGGGCCGAACTGCGTTTAGTCAAGCAGGTGGCTCCAGCGGTCCACATAATTTGAAAAAGCTCTCACCTGGAGGGGGGAGCTGGAGCGGACAGAACACTCCTTGAATATCTCTTGTATCTGCATAAGGCCTTAATTAATGGCTTTTAATTTGGAAGCACTTGTTGATCGGCAGGGAGCAGTTATAAATCATTTCAAGTAGAAGCAAGGGTTTACCTTCTACCTGGTGTAGAGGATGTTGGTGAGGAGCAGGGGGTTGTTTAACCTCTAACGCAGAAGAGAACCCCACATCTCATTGGGTGCTGTGAACCCCACATTTCATTGGGTGCTGTGGATTTCTTACCTGCTAAACCCAGCCAATCCGGTAGCCAGAATGAAAGGAGTGGCATTTTGCTCCTGGCTACTTTCTTGCTCCCAGTGCTACTTTATTTTTTATTTCTTCTAAAATTTGTCTGGGTTTGCTTATTCGTTTGAGACATAGTCTTGCTTCGGAGCCCAGGCTGCTCTGAGAACAGATTTTTCATCCTCCTATCTCCTTCTCTAGAGTACTCAGCCTCCAGGAGAGTGCCACCATACTCCCCGTTCCCCTCCCTCATTTATTTCATGTTAAAGTGTGGCCTATGAGTCCTGCTTCACTTGTTTGATGTTTAAGAACAGATCGAACTCTGAGAGGAAAAACACTCCTTTGGGGTAGACCGCTAATATAATGACCTAAGAACAATTAACTTTGAGTTGTGTACAATTAAATTTAGTTTGAGTTCTAGGAGGCGGTGACATTGGAAAAAACCTGCAACATACCCCCTCCAGGTCCAGGAGGAAAGGGCCTGGGCTGGGCTCCCCACCCCCAGGGCACCGCCATTCACTGGGCTAACCATGCCTGGCATGTTAGAAGCAGCCCAATATTTGTTGAAAGAATGAAAGGCTGATCTCCCGCAAACTTAGGTGACCCATAATCACCCCTGCCACCCTAGGTCATCTGTCAAATATTTTAATGATAATTAATAATGAGTGGTAGCCATGGAAGCCTTCTGTAAATATTTTTTCATTTCATTTCCCAAAGTGGGACTAAGAGCAATCCATTTTCCCAACAGCTAACAAGAAAATTATCTGATCGGCAGACCGAGGCTTCTGGGGGGCATGTCACCTGCCCCAGAGGATTTGAGCATGCCTACCTGGTACCCCCCAGCCTCGTTCTGCATCCCTCACATGCCAAGACCCATATACAAATCTCCTCTTTCACTGGGTGATCAGTTCAAATTTTAAACTTTATTGTTATCTCTATTATGAATTTCCCAGAGGGTGTTCTAAAGTTCCCAGGTCTATTACAATGATCCTCCAGGAAACAGCTTCACATCCAGTGTTAACAGGGAAACGGTCCTGGGTGAGCCTCCATGCTTTCTATGAACCTCAAGGCTCTGTGAACTTTCAGTCTGTTCAATCTACAAACAACTACAGCCCACCTGTTTAAGGAACTGTGCTTGGGGACACAATGGTGACATAAATGAGGTTCCCAAGAAAGAAAAATAACATGTGGATCTCTTTCTTTTGTTTACCTCACAATAACTAAACTCTTTGGGAAGCCTTATTGAAAAGACATTGATGATACACCTCCTTCTCCTCCTTTTTCTCATCCTCCTCTTCTCCTGAATCACTCATGCAAAAGCTAATCCTATCTACACTGTAGCAAAACCTATACATTTTTTAAAAAATCAGCTAAGGGTTTCTAACTTTTCCATCCCACGTCACCACCTAACTCTAAATTATTGAGTTGATAACCTCCAAAGATCCCCCTACTCGGTCCTATAAAGGTCTTTATGACTTCTCAAGACTCACAGCAAAATATTTTAAACCAGTAAGATGACTGAGGAGAGCACTTAATTGCTGTGAGGGACACATGAAAACATCTTAATGAGCACACATGTGGGACTTTCAACCTTCATGAAGAGCACACTGGCAACAGGTCCTCATCCACACTGATAAAAACTCCAATAGCTGCTACCCACCACCAAAGACAGGACTGTAAAGGAGAAGCAAATTAGTCTGCAGGAGGAGTTCCTGTCTCTTAACAGCTTCACAAAAGAACACCCCTACTGTACTTGGAGGTGGATTTGCTTGTGCTGAATGATGACTAATTATGGCTTCAGCAAACACAATTTATGAAGGACAGCAATTAAAAAGGATTTCGTAGAAATGCATCAAAGAACATCATGCCCATGGCCCATGTGGCCACGTGAAGTATCACAGTAAAATAATGCAGATCGGAAAGTCTAGCTCAGCTAGCAACAGGCTTGGGATAAAGAAAAGCAGAGACAAAACCCCATCTGGAAGCACAAGGCAGATACTTGGGTTTGGCCAGTCCACAGCATCATCTCTGCTGAAATTGTTTTAACACTCATGTGAAGAAGTGCATAGACTTCTAATAGAGCAGCATTAACAATACGATCTCAAACAGCTAAGTGGCACGAATTTGTTAAAAAAAGATATTCCTCCAAATTCTTCTCTTTCCCCATAAATTTGTTAGCGGACACCATCCAAGTCGGTGCCTCACCCAGATACCTGTCAAGTTATGTACATAAACAAACTATGCCATTACAAAGCAAGTGCACCAGGCCTGGCCATGTGATGGAGGAGGCGGCAGGTAAAGTCCACTCACTCTTGATGGCTCTGATAAACATACCCTGGAAAAATGACTGATGGGTATCAAGCTGCAATCCTACTGAGGCTCAAAAGCCCACAGGGTAACAATGCTGACATGACAAACGGTGGCAGTGCTGATGACTACCATGGCAGATATGAAGCACCCTACCAAGAAACAAAGATTGATGGGTGCACAAAGACCATCTGCAGTGTCACCAAAGGTGAGGGGCACAACAGAAATCTGGAAAAAAAAAAAGAAATAAAAGAAAAGCTACAGAGGTGGGACTCATGATGGTTTACTTTGACCACAGGGT